TCTCACGAATGTGTAAATCTGCTGTGTTGTTGTGTAATATGCTCTTGGCCGAATGACTGTTCACTGCAGATTCTGAAAAGTGAATCAGTTTTGCTCAGGTTTCATGAGCTTACTGGAGAGCTTTGTCTCCACCTGGAAGAGTTACCATTGCATATGCTGGACATTTCAGACGAAACCAAGGAGCAGGTAGGACAAACGTCACAAAACATGTGCGGCCTGTTAATTTGAAATTGGATGAGCATTGAGCAAGGCATATTCTCTCCGTTTGCGCCCGATCACAGTGGCATGAAATTAGATGATCGGATTGGGAAATGTTGAGTGAACGAATGATTTCTTTCATGCCATTGGAAAGCTAATGAAGAGCAAAGGATTTGTTTTGCGCCATCAAAAATATGATGAAGAGTGGATTAATGAAGGATATGTCCTTCAGTCCTTCCTGGCAAAAGCGAATGGAAAGAAACAAAGAAGTCAAACCTGGAATCCAAGGAGTTGAAAACTGAAGGACTACAGTATGGAAGGTAGCAAGGGAATAGCAAAGTGTCCCATGATTCCTGTCAGTATATAGCATATGTTTCTGTTGGCCTGGGCACATGTTTACAGTGGGATTTCTTCACCTGGTTCTTATGGGGTGTGGTTGAGATCTGTGAGACCTATGTGAAACCCTGGTCAGTATCTTTCGCAGTGCTCTTCACAGCTTATTCCTTAGCTAGCCCCTGTAGACACCTACGAAACTTCCCCCCCGTGCATTTGTAACTTCCTCACCCCTTGGCACCTCACACCACACTTTTTCCAACTTCTCCCTTGCCTTCGCAGCCTCCTTCCTCCTGAGAAACTGAGTGGTCACAGGCCTTGCCATTTTTCTTAAAATGTATTTCTTAAAATGTATTAACGGTCTTGACTTCAAATAGCTTCATCTTGCACTGTCAATTATGGCGGCGACCTGTACATCTCTTTAATATGCTTAATTCCTTGCTGATTAGGACATGGTTGGGATGTGCGACTGTCGACTGAAGTTGCTAGTGACAACTAGGAGGCAAGGAATACCCGGTGCTTGGAGGAAGAGGTCCACAAGGGTGAGCAAGAAAAGGAGGATGAGTAGCGGGAGGGAGGAAGGAGGGGGTGAAGTTGAAGAAAGGAGGGTGAAGATGGCAGGACAAAGAGTGCTCGAATGGGTAAGGGTGAAGCAGAAAGACAATCAGATGATGAGTGTTGGTATGGTCAGCGAAATAATTGTGTGTGTAGGCAAAGAGGGCTGGTGACGGGGGAAGATGTCACGCTAGCACTGTGAGGCAGTGATCGAGGAGGACGGGAAGGGGAGCAATGAAATATGTGTAGGAAAGGAAGGCTGGTGATGGGGGAAGATGACACACTAGCACTGTGAGGGAGTGATCAAGGAGGATGGGAAGGGGAGGAATGAAGTATGATCAGTTGCTGGAGGGGCAGCTGGGCAGTTCCTTGAAGCGGAAGAAGAAGGTGCAGGGAAGGGAATGAGGCGAAGGACAGTGAAGGTGGGGGACGAGTAGGCAAGGGCCAAAAGAGAGGAAAAGGTGAACATGGGAGATAGATGGGCAGGGATGGTCACAAGGAGGAGGGGGAGCAGTGACAGAGGTGGAGAGGCAGCAACTGTACAAGGGAAGGGACAGCAGTTGGTAGAGGAGAGTTACTTTGCTGTCTTTCTGTTTTGGTAGATGTATGGTCAGTAACACACCCTTGCGACTTTGCAGTGGCAGATGAGTTTGTTTTTCCGTTTTTGCTTGCGGACTTGGAAGTTTGAGTTCTCTGAGCTGGCCCTTGTTAAGGTCAGGGTTCCGCTCCGCAGGTCATGGTAATGGGCCAGTGTTTGAGGGGAGATGCTTGTGCATGCAGTTGCATGGGACACTTGTCCACATACGCTCTGTTATTTTGAGGAGCCGGCATCCCCTTCCTTCTTTGCTTACCCTGTCAAGCGGAGGAGCTTTTCATGGATGCAGGGGAATGTGCACCTTGCCCAATATGTGCTGTCAATCAAGGGGATACTGGACGGGGCGACCCCTATAGCTCTGATAACGCTAGCCACTGATCAGGTGACCCCTTGTGTGGCTAGCCACTGTGTTGGCTTCTGATCAACCGTGCTGGTAATAATGATGTTTAAACCGCCTGACGACCGCTGATTTTTGCAGCTGTGTACAGAGGGGACAGGTCTCATCTTGAGTCAGAGGCCTGGAGCAGATGCAAAAAGAACTGTGGCTTTTGATGTGGAACAACAGATTATGATTAAAGTGGTTAATGCTGGAGGCTGCAGGTTGTTGCGCGAAAGTCAGCAAGTTCAACCTTGGGCAGAAGAGAGGTTAACGAATAAGTTGGAGGCAAAGTCAGTTGGCTAACAGATCGATGTGGGATGTGAGTGCAGGTTGGTCTTGTGCGTGCGCAATTGAAGAGAGCAAGGAGTGTTGTCGATGTGAAAAACACGGTACTTTTTTCTGAACTAAAAAATGCTGTTGAGTGTCACCAGAAGGGCCTTGGAGTTGACATGGGCAAAATGAAGGAAATTCTGAGGTTGCTTGACCTGAACACACGTTCAGCGATTGAGGCTGAAAGAAAGGTTCTTGAGAAACATCTGCCATCTCTGTCTCCAGGGAAGGAGGAAGAAGTTGGAGCTGTGATGGGCCTGTTGGAGAACATGGCACTCTGTGTGAATTATGATATGGATGCCTCTCCTGTCGTGACTGCGTCTTCATCTGCGCCATCATCATCGTCATCCTCAACAGCAGTGGTACCGGTTCAGCAAAGAAAGCTGCCTCCAGTTCCTCCAGATGACTACAAGTGCCCGATCTCGTTGGAGTTGATGAGGGACCCAGTTATAATTGCAACAGGGCAGACATTTGAGAGAGCATACATTCAAAAATGGCTAGATTCGGGGCACCGGACATGCCCTAAGACCCAGCAGGTTCTTTCCCATATTGTAGTGATACCGAACTTTGTTCTTAAGAGTCTGATCATGGCCTGGTGTGATGAAAATGGTGTGGACTTCCCTGATAAACTGGGAGCACAAAAACCAGGCAGGTCGGGTCGGAATTCCGCAGAGAATGGAGAAATTAGTGGCGACCGATCTTTGGTCGATGGTCTGCTGCAGAAACTTGTTTCTGGCACGACCGAGAACAAACGACAAGCAGCCGAAGAACTTAGGCTGCTTGCAAAGAGGAGCATGGAGAATAGGGTCTGCATTGCACAGGCTGGTGCCATTCCGCTCCTCGTCCATCTTCTTAGCTCGTCAGACCCGAAAACACA